CCGGGAGCGTGCCACTGCACTCCAGTCTGGGTGACAGAGTGAGACTCCAACTCAAAAAAAAAACAAAAATAGGGTGAGAATATTTAACATGAGATGTATCCTAACAAAATTTTAAGTTTACGATACATTATTAACCATAAGTGCAATATTGCACAGCAGAAGCTATTCATCTTCATACCTGTTGAATAGCAATGTCCCATTTCCCCTCCCTGTAGCCCCTGGCAACTACCATTCAACTCTCTGCTTCTATGAGCTTGACTCCTTTGAGATCCACTCATGTAAGTAGATCACATAGTATTTGTCCTTCTGTAACTGTTGATTTCACTTAGCATAATGCCCTCCAGGCTCATTCCAAGTTGTCACATATTGCAAGGTTTCCTTCTTTGAGGCATATTTTAAGTTTCTATTTAACTATCTATCTTAAAGATGTGGGGTACAATTCAGGGTTAGGTATATAAATGTTCATGATGCAGGTACTCTTGTTGATGAGGTCTTTTAAGTTTCTTTGTTTTTTTTGAGTTGGAGTCTCACTCTGTGTGTTGCCCAGACTGGAGTGCAGTGGCCGCTCCCAGCCACCGCAGCCTCGAGTCGCTGGGCTCCAGCGATCCTTCCGCCTCAGCCTTCCAAGTAGCTGGAACTACAGGTGCGCGCTACCACGCCCGGCTGATTTTTTGATTTACTGTAGAGATGAGGTCTCGCCAAGTGGCCCAGGCTCAGGCAATCCGTGGGCTCAGGCAATTCACTCACCTCAGCCTCCCAAGTCGCGGGATTACAGGCTGAGCCACCGAGCCCGGTTTCTTTTAAGTTTCTTAACTGGCACTTAGTTGTGCCCAGCAAGGGAACTTACACACAGCAAATTAAGTGCCTGGTATAGTAAGATGTCACCTATGCAGCAAACGCACTGCTCCAGATGCCAGCTGAGAATCAGCCTATAAAGCCAAAATATAAAAAAGCAGACTCAGAGCACAGGGATCTGGGGAGTACAAGCAAGAGTCCTGCATTACTCTAGTAAAGGCTGACGACGGCATCAAGGTATTAAAGGAACTGAGATTCATAATGACAATGTCACATCATTTAAAACAATAACAACAATCACAAACAGCATGCCGGAGAGGCCATGTGTTGAGGCTCTGGTCACAAGTGCCGGCTGAGCTTGACCCTCCACCTGCCCCTCTGCCCTGCCAATACACCAAACAAGTGAATGAGCCATCTTAGACAGTCCAGAGCAGCTATCTATGGAATAGGGGAGGGAGACATGGGGGAGGGGGGAAATCCAGAATGATCCCAGTCGGCACCATGAGCACAATAATCACCGAAATGAGCCCTGCCCAAATTCCTGACCCACAAAGTCATAAGACATGATTACAAAGTTTGTTTTCAATTAGTAGATTATTTTTTATATACTGTGTTTAAGAAGGCAAGGAAGAGTATGTTTTAGGGTGCTCTCCAATGATGTGTTTTATGAATCTAGAAATGCTATTTTTGATGGTTCCTCATGGCTAAAATTGCCACTATAAAAATAATTAACTGAGTAGAACATGTTTCAGACACAGATTGTGAAATGTCTGGGGTTATAAATTTAAATTTTAATCAACCTAAATTCTCTCGATAATCCATTTCACAGAAGAGCTATACTGAATTCCAAGTATTTTCCCTATCTATTTCTTAGTTTTATTAGTCTAGAATAGCATAAACAAATATAGCCCATGGGCCAAATATGATCCACTGGCTGTTTTTATAAGCAGATTTATTGAAACACTGCCACACTCTTCCATATTGTCGATGATTGCTTTCACACTATAAAGGCAAAGGTTGAGTAGTTGGTGACAGAGACTATATGGTCTTCAAAGCCTAAAATATTTAGTATCTGGCCTTTTACAGAAAAAGTTTACTAAACTCCTGGTCTGTAATAATAAAAGCTAATACTGCCGGGCTCGGTGGCTCAGCCTGTAATCCCGCGCCTTTGTGAGGTTGAGGTGAGTGGATTGCCTGAGCTCGCGGGTTCAAGACCCGCCTGGGCAGGCGAGACTTCATCTCTACAATAAATAAAAAAATCAGCCGGGCGTGGTAGCACGCTCCTGTAGTTCCAGCTACTTGGAAGGCTGAGGCGGAAGGATTGCTGGAGCCCAGCAAGTCGAGGCTGCGGTGGCCAGGAGCGGCCACTGCACTCCAGTCTGGGTGTAAGAGTGAGACTCCAACTCAAAAAATAAAATAAATAAAAATAAATAAATAAAAGTTAATACTTAAGGACTTGCTTTGTGCCAGGCACTGTACAGTTTTCACATTTGGTCTTATTTATTCTTCACAACCACCTTATGAAGTCAGCCTACCATCATCCTATTTTTACAGAAAAGTGTACAAAGACACAAACAAGTTTATTCAAAATTCACAGAGCCAGGGTAGCAGGGCCAGGATTCCAAACCCAGGTCTGTCTAATTTCACTGATTCTCAACCAGAGGTGGTTATGAAAATTTCCCCAAGACTCTTAAAAGGAAAGTAATCAAAATGAATAATTTCATTTAGGAGTATCTAAATGCTTTAGAATTACAAATTACAGTCAGCTGGGCACAGTGGTTCATGCCTGTAATCCCAGCACTTTGGGAGAATGAGGCGAGAGGATTGCTTGAGCCCAGGGTTTGGGACCAGCCTGTGCAACTTGGTGAGACCTCTTCTCTACAATAAATTAAAAACTTAGCAGGGCACAGGGGCACGCTCCTGTAGTTCCCGTTACTTGGAAGGCTGAGGCAGAAGGATCACCTGAGACCAGTAGGTCAATGCTGTGGTGGTTGTAAACGTGCCACTGCACTCCAGCCTGGGTGACAGAGTGAGACTACGACTCAAAAAAAAAAAGAATTACAGTCAACAGCTACATAATAGTAAAAAACAAAATCAACCACCTGCTATCATGCAAAACATTCTGCAAAAAGTCCCTCTAAATAAAGTTTCCAGTCACTCATCAGAGAAATTCCTTAAAATATATTACAACTAACTTTAAATAAAGAACAAAAAAATAGAAAGAGGCTATTTTTGTATGTATGGTCAAATGTTATATATAGGAAGGAAATTAGATTAGCACACATGAGCTACTTTGCTTGTAAATGTGTACAGAGAAAATGGTTTGACTTAAACAGAGGATTAAATTTTAAAATACTAGCTTTTATTATTATTATTTTGGTCACAATGAATATACAACTGAATTATCTTCACTGATTATTGTATTAATTCAACAAGCAGATTTGCAAGGACAGACCAAACTACTCTGCTAAGAAACCCGGTGCTTCCAAATTAGACAGCCAATAATACAAAGAGTGAAAAAAATTCACACAGATTCTCACTTCACAAAGAATGTACTGTTTTATCCATACTTCTTTCACCTATGCTTTTTTTTTTTTTTTTTTAATTGGGGGGTCTCACTCTGTTGCCCAGGCTGGAATGCAGAGGCACGATCATGGCTCACCACAGCCTCGACTTCCTGGGCTTAGGTGATCCTTCTGCCTCAGCCTCCCAAGTAGCTCGGACTACAGATGTGTGCTACCACATCTGGCTAATTTTTAAAATATTTTTTGTGGACATGAAGTTTCTCTATGTTTCCCATGCTGGTGTGGAAATCCTGGACTCAAGCAATCCTGTCTCGGCCTCCCAAAGTGCTGGGATTACAGGAGTGAGCCATTATGTTTGGTCACTTTTGTGTTTTTGATGTAACTAATTAGAATAGGGGAAAGATGATCTTAGAACTAAAGAGTAAAAGTTATTACAAAGAAAATATAAGGAGGTGATGAGGAACTGGGAATTGGGGTATTTGGGGAAGAACTGGAGAAAACAAACATTTCCACGCAGGATAATCTAGAGATTATCATAGATCAAACCTCAAGAAAATATAACACGAGGACATTTGATGAGAATTGAGAGTCAAATGACACTTAGAGCTACTGCACTGGTACCCCCCACCCCCCCAAAAAAGCCTCACAACACACTCCTCACCAAGCAACATGATGAATATGATGCTCTGCAATGTTTATCTCAGCTCCCTCGGGACTTTATCATCCAAACAGACCAGATCTCCTTTGTGTCTAAAATCATGACAAATATTTTGTCATAGCTTGCCAGAAACGAGACCAAACAGTTGGATTTCAGTTTCAAAAAGTGGCTGACAAGTACGTGTAGTGAATACTCCCCGGGTGCCACAGAAATGTGAATTTCTGATAGAACAACCCTGCTTCAAATGT